TATATTTCTTCTTGCTTGAATTTTCGAGAACAGCTTCTTTTTTTTTTAATTAAAAAATGCAGGGTGGGGTGGGAGCACAAAAAACAGGCAGACTGAAAGAGAGCCTCTTGTAAAACTACAGGCAGATTTCAGAGAAGAGAGACATTTTAGAGCAACCCCTCGCTGTTCAGCAAGCCCTGGTGTTGTAATCCAAGGTTAGTCTCTGGCCTACACTGCCTTCCACATCCACCTGACCTTCCATGAAAGAATGACAGGGAACACTTAAGATTTAGAGCCACATAATCTATGTCCAACACTTGGTTTTTTAGCTTTGTTATATTTGGATGTGTTATTTGTTATTTTTACTTTAGGAAAAAAATAACTTACTTTACTAGGTTGAGTATTTTTTTTTAAAAGACTTTATTTTTTTCCTTTTTCTCCCCAAAGCCCCGCCGTACATAGTTGTATATTCTTCGTTGTGCATTCTTCTAGTTGTGGCATGCTGCCTCAGCATGGTTTAGAAGAGCAGTGCCATGTCCGCGCCCAGGATTCGAACAAACGAAACACTGGGCCGCCTGCAGCGGAGCGCACAAACTTAACCACTCGGCCATGGGGCCAGCTCCTAGGTTGAGTACTAAATGAGATTATTTAAAAAGTGTTTCACAAACTGTGAAGCACAATATAGATACATGCTGTTGAGAATAAAGGGGCTGTGCTCAACAATTATCTTTTTGCTCTGTCCCCTTGAATCCAAATCCCTCTAGGTAAAGAAAAATGAGGAATGAGTCACAGAGGAAAAGGACTCGGGGAAGGGAAGTGGAGGCTAGGAGAAAAGTGATTACACACCCAAGGAGTAGTAGCTGGAGTTACATTATTTATGAAACCAGGAGGAGGAGAATAATCTTGATGGGGCTGATAAAATCTCCAGAAGATGGTTGTAGCCCAGCGCCAGGCCCTTGCGAAGAGTGGTTAGTTTCTCTTTAAGCTGCCGGGGCCTCCCTGACCTGAGACGTGAAGAGATGATTATAGAACCCTGTGCAGTGTTTAGAGTCCCACCGTCTGCATATTTTATAAAAATATCTGTCCCCCTGAGACTAGAAGCAAAAAGGATCCAATGACTGTGGGCATTATCACTTCCTCCACCTAGGACAGGCTGGGACAGACTTCATGCTTTTAACCAATGGATGTTGAGTTGATGAATGAAATAAATACATTCTCCAATCATTTGATGGACTTAGTATCAAAATAATAATAATAACTGTATGTGGGCTGACCCTGTGGCTGAGTGGTTCAGTTCTCAGGCTCTGCTTCACCAGCCCAGGGTTTTGCCAGTTAGAATCCTGGGCGCCAACATGGCACCGCTCATCAGGCCACGCTGAGGCAGCATCCAACATGCCACAACTAGAAGGACCCACAACTAAAAATACACAATTATGTACTGGGGGGATTTGGGGAGAAAAAGGAAAAATAAAATCTTTAAAAAATAAATAAATAACTGTATGCACTAATACACTTTTCTAGTTTATTTGCCTTTCTAAATTTATTCTTGAGTTTTTGCTTTTGAAGAGTTTGTAGGCTGTTAACAGGAACTTAGACAACTGTTTCTTTTCTTGGCCTTGAGGCAGCTTCAGAAGATAAGACACCAAATGCAACTATGAGTGCCTGGGGGAAAATGTAATGGGAAAAAACGTGTGTCAGCAGCCTTTCCTAGCACCAAGTACCGTCTCACTTTTTACTCTTTTCAGTTTAATTAACATTCATATGAATTCAGCAAATAATATATAGCAAATGTGAATCCATATAATTTTTTTTAGCACTGGAGAGAATCTTAAAAGTCTTTGAATCAGTTGTACAGAGAGGCCCTGCCTGGGATATTAAGGGACTGACAGAGCCAGAACTGAAACTTGTTTTTCCACCTCGAGAAAAGGAAATAAACAAAAAATATCCTAAGCAATTGCAGGTTTTTCGAGCCCACTCTTTTGGGTTGTTTTCCTTGCCTGTGTTATGCAAACTCCAGGCACTTTCTTCCCAGGATGCACCAACAACCCAAAGCTCCAAACAAGTTTGGGACAAGCCTTGAGAGGGGTGGGTGGCGGGGACAATCCCCCAGTGGAGCCATCACACACAATAGTGCTGCTGTTCCTCTCTTGAGCATCTCGCCAGCTTTTAATAACGGCTTCGACATGCTTCGCGCGAGCGAAAGGTGAGAGCATTGGCCACATCAAGCCAGACCTTCAGCAAGAGCATTTAAAGTTCGACTTTTTCTCCTCACAATGTGAAAGAGGTTTTTAATTCCCTGCGCCCCTCCCCCTTGCCTTGTAAAGTTTGTTTTCTAGCTACGAGCTCCCTTCAATTCTCGCTTTCCATCTCGGTTGCCTGAGAATCGCAGTAATTAGCCAAGTTCACGCAGACGAAGAAAAAGATACCTTTGTGTACATAATGAGCTACCGCATGGCCAAGGATAACCACGCGGAAGAAGGAAACATTTTGGTCTCGAGCGGCTGAAAGTGGGCAAGGGGAGGGTTAAGCAGACCCGAATGCGTGTTCTGCTGAGTGGCTTCGAAAGCAGCCGAGGCAGCCGAAGCCGCTTTCGAAGTTAGCAAACAAAGCGTCTCCCCAGTAACCGCCCGGTTCCAGACGAGGCTCCTGCCACTCAGGCCGCCGGGCCGCAGCGTCGGCCGTCCCGGCTCCTCCTCCCTGCGTCTCTCCTCCCTCCTCTCGCGTTCCCCAACGGATCTGAACCACCAATCCCAGCCACAAACAACCCTTCAAATGCAAGAACTTGGCGGCCCTCTAACGGGCGGCCCCCCACCCTCTCCCCGCCCCACATCTGTCCCGCACTCGGGCGCAGCAGCTGATTCATCTCCAGCCAGGCCCGGGGAAGGAACTGCGCTCCAGCAAGTTGCAGGGTGGCTTCCAGGCTGGTGGTTTCCCCCAGGAGCATGTTTTCCCCCTTGGCCGTTTTAGATGTGTGTTCTCTTAGGTGCCGAGCAGTCGGCAAACCACAGAAGAAAAAAAAATCGTAAGGTTGCTGCCTTCTTAGAGTGACGCCTTTTTCCTTGTTTATTCATTTTAAGTCCTGTAATTGGAAAAACCACCCAAGCTTTGTAAACTCTGGCCTTAATTCACTCTCGGGGCGGGGGTGTCTTTTTTTGGGAGGGTGAGTGGGTGGGAGGCTGGCTTTAATTTTCGGTGTAATTCTAAAACAGAGGCTCCAAAGTCTAGTCAGTCATGGTTTGGCTGCCTCAGTTCTCCTCGGGCTTAACCTTATTTCCACGGAGCTTCTCTTGCCGGGTTCTCCATCGAGGTTAGAAAACAAAAACAGCACAGAGCCGAAACTGGAGGCAGACTCGGGCGCTGACGTCTCCGCTAGGCTTATTTACGATTGGTTTTTTTTTTTTTTTTAAGTGCTGGGGAAAGTCTTACTGTGGCGTGTGACAGTTCATTTACTTGAAAACAACGAGACAGACACACGCGAAAAGTAGACCCGGAGGAGAGGGCGGGGAGGGGGCATGCATTTCTTGAAATCAGCCAAACAGCATCCGGTGTTTTAAAAGGATAATTTCATCAAGGAACTCATGTTGGACTCCTCGTGACTCTCGATCAAAATAAACCAACAGGAACACGTGTTTACTTAATGGCTAGTTTCTGTTTGAAATACTGGAGGGGAGAAGGGGTCCCCTGGCGGAGTTTAAGTCCTAAAAGTAGACTGTTTACCCAAACAGATGAGTAGCCCGGCTGCAGTAGCCCCCTCCCCATCAAGGCGGCAGCTGCCCCGGTCTGGGGTGGGGGTGTCAGGCCGAGTCGCACCCAGGCGGGCGCGCGTCCGGGCTGTCCTCAGGCAGAGACTTTAAAGAGCATGTGAGCATGACAAGTGTCCGCAACGTGTTAGATTTCGAAACTGCCTTGCAACCCAGTCCGGAACTCGCAGCTTTAGTCCGAGGGAACAGACGTTCGCCTGGGGTGTGTGTCTCATCTGACCCCCCTCCCCACTGTCGCTGTTGGAGGAAGAGCCCCGCGAGGAGAAGGGTGGGACGCGCCGCGCCCGCGTGTCAATGGCAGCCGCGCATTCTGGAAGAAGTTGGTTCTTGTCCGGAATACTTTTCCTACGGTGCCCCGCCCCTTGAGTCAGAAGCCGCTGTCTTCTCCTGCGGCTAGAGCGGGGACGGTGAAGTTTGGGGCAGCTGTCAAAAACGAGAAGGGAGCCTTTTCTTCCCTGGGGTGGAGGAGGAGAAGGAGGGGGCGGCCTTTTTTCCGTGTTGCAATTTCCTAACCAAACGCACCCTCGCCAGCCCTGGGAAGAAAGGCCCGAGGGAGCAACCCGGGCGCTCGGCTGGTGTGGCCACCGCCGAGCGAGGGATGCGGGCGGCGTGCGCGCAGCTGAGGGGAAGGATCTGGTGTCTGGGCTCCGCTGCCCCGACGGGGACGGGTGACAGCGGCCCCGGAGGCGCGAAGTGAGGCGGCGCGGCCGCGGCGCTCGGTGCCGTCCTCCCGGGCTGGAAGGTGCGGGGGAGGGGCGGAGGAGCGGCGGGGCGGGCGGGGGACGGGGCGGGCGGCTGGGGGCGGAGGCAGGACCTCCTGTACCTTCCCTCCTCGCCTCTCTCACTCTGACAGCGCCGAGGTGCGCCGAGCAGGAGCGGGGAACAAAGGAGTGGAGTGGGGAGGGGAGTGAGTTGGGCGACCGAGAGCCCCCCGGCCGGCTGCCAAAAGATCCTGGCAGGAGGAAGTCCAAGTGTCACTTGAATTCCACCCAAGGAGCCGGCTCCTGGGATCCGAGCGCCTTGTTTAGCAATAACGGCTGGAGCGCGTCCTACAAGTTACGGGAGAGTTGGCCGGGAAGGAGGACGATCGCTCGCCCCCTCGGCCGCCGCTCCTGGCCCCTCGAGACCCCAGCATTGCCCCGCGCTGGAAGGGGAGCTCCAGGATGAAAAGCAAGAGAGGTAAGGCGCCGGGGCTGTGCGCGCCGCGGGCGCGAGTCCCGGGAAACGTGCTCGCCGCGCCGGGCTGGGGGCGAGAGTGCCCTGGGGACTTTTCTGCCCGAGGGCTCTCTGGCTGGAGCCCCGGCCGCCCTCTTTGTTGAGGCTGCGTCTGAAATGGCAGTTGCTGTTTCCCTTCTAGACACAACACGAGGGGCTGCTGTGGGGAGACGGGCCTCTCCATGCTGCTGGCACGTTGTCAAGAAACACGCTTGTTTGTGCGCCTCCAAGTTTCATTGTCTCAGCCGACACCCCACGCTCCGCCAAGCCGCCGCGTGGCTTCTCGCTCTTTCCCGCGGGCGGGGGGTGTGGGGTCCGGGGACCCCCGCCCCGCTTTTCCCCGTCGGAACCCGGGGCGGCTGGGACAGCGGTGCCGCGGCGCCTTTGTCTGAAAGTTGGGCTCCTGGACTCCCACTCACTCCCAGCTGGGCCAGGGCACCCTCTTCTCTAGGAATGGGGTATTTTCACAATCGAAGGAATGCGACTCTGGACCCCAAATCGCCCTCGGGTGTCGGTAGCTTTGAAAGCTAGACTTTAAAAAATTCCCTGCCTCTAAAAGTTTTCCCGCGATGGATTTGGGGCAAGATGAGGAGTTAGGACTGAGGGCAATCAGCTTAGAGCGGCGTGCAGTCAGGACGAGCCCAAGTGTGACAAGCAGGCCTGGTTGTAAGTGCAAAGAGTGAGTCTGTCATTGTTTCCACGAAGCGTTCTGGAAGCCTTACAACTAAAACTTGCCATCAGTCTGGTCTAAAAACAAAATACACAGAAAGAAAAAAAACCACCACCACGAAAGGTCAAAGAATGTTAACTCCCTTTTGAAGTGAACTTTTGAGTCCCCGACGGGGAGGTACCCCGAATGTTCCGTGGTGAGCCCTAGTTGGCTTTTCTGTTGTGATTTCTGTGGAGTGGTTCAAAACAGAAGTTAATCGCTCGGGGAAGCCAGCGCGGGGGAGGGGGCGGCGCTGCTGCGCATGCCCAGGAGCGGCCCGAGTTGCTGTAACTCCGCATTCTTTCAGACGCGTCCAGCGCAGACAGTAGAACAGTGGGTCCCCTCGGCTCTGTTTTTACCTTGGAGTTCCCTTTGATTTTGGCCAACCTAGAAACACGCGGAGCTTCTCACCTCTTGCTTTCCCAGCGAGAGTAAAATGAAACGTCCAGACCCGGGGCCTTCGTAGTAGTTGGTGGTGGAACTCCCTGCGTCCCCTCCCCAAGGGACACAGTGAGAACGTGGGAGCTTAGAGGTTTGGACATTTAACTGGGCTCGATGAGTCACAAAACGCGCGCGGGGAGCGCCCAGGGTGGCCTCTGGAAGGCTGTGTCAACTCGGCAAGGACTGACAGGTCTCGATCCTTACTGGAAGGCGTTCTCTCTCATGGTGGAACTGAGTGGGATAACCGGGGATGGTGTTTTTGAAGAGTGGGTTTTGCGAGCCGGAAGGAAAGCTGGGCTTCCACCGGGGGCGGGCTCCCCCTCATTGTTCGGGCTTTGGTGGGGGAGGCGTTGGTTAAGCTCCCTGGTATCCTCCACTTGCCCCTCCTCACTCCCGGGTCCTCCTCACCCAGACCCTCGGGTACCCTTCCCCAACTTCCCTCCCCACCGCCCGGCGCCCCCCTGGCACTCTTGGGTACCCCTCGAAGCCCCCCTCCCCGGCACTGGTGCCCCTCGCCTGTCCTTCGGTCCTCCCCCCCCCACCCGCCAGTACCTCGGGGGTCCCCCCATCCCCCGACGCCCTCTCCCCCCAGCAGAGGAACGCGGCTTGGACCCTCGGCCATGGGGTGGGAATAGTCGGGGTCAGCAGCCCCGGGCGCACAAGGTCCTGCTACTGAGCGCCAACTCATGGAAACAATGAAAGGTGACGTGTTGGAGGGGAAACTTTGCGACTGGTTCAGAGCTCGTGCGGGGGAGCGGATACTGCTGAGGTTGCCCGGGTTTCTTTCCCTTTTTAGGTTTTCCTGGCAAATCCTCTGGGGGTGGGCAGGCCCCTCCGAACGCTGAGATTAACGGCATCGTTTCTAGTTTCTTGTAATCTGAAACTCTTGAAGTCCTCTGTTTGAGCTAACTCGTACCGTCGGAGGGGCCGATTTCAGTTAAGGCCGAGGAACTCGCCAGAACAAAAGCTCCCTGGCTGTCCTCCCTCCGGGCTCCTCCCTCCCTCACCTCCTCAGTCCTGCCCGCCCCCGCCCCCCAACCCCTTCCTAAAACTACCTTGGAGGGGCCGGCGTTCCGGGTCGGCTCTGCGAGGACTCGGGAAGAAATCTGCCCCGTCTGGCTTGTGGACTTGGACTATTGTCTGTTTTATAAAAGTCTGTGAAAATCTTTTCAAATTTCTTGAAAACAAAAGCACCTTAAACTCAATCGCAGAGGCTGGGACTGGGTGAGACTGGTTTGTGATAATAGTGTCGCATCAGAAAGCTGAGGATGCCACAAAAGCTCTCCCAGACTGGCTCTAAAACAAGCAGAAAGAAGATTCGCTGAGGAAAATCCCCTAAGTGTCTCTGCCCCTGGTTCCTGACAGTGTGGAATTCTGGCTTTAGAAGTGCTCTGTGCCTGCGTCCAGCCAAGCGCACCCTGCATTTGGTGCCTGGGATTTTAAGATTCCTGTTTTCTCCTGAGATATTCTGATCAGGAAGCTTGTTAGGTTAAGTTTGCTTTTTCCTAACTGTGTACTTAAACTTTTCCTTCGATTATTCTTATTTCTAGATCCTTGTCTAGCCTCTTAGACTTTTTTTTTAAAGTCCAACTTCACAACCCATATCTGCTCTGGCCCTCCCCCGCGGCCCCTCCCGCTCCCCCAGTTCGTATTCAGAAAAGAAAAGGTTGCTTTTTAGAGCTGTGGGATCCATAAGCCATCTTGTGGCTTTCTAAACAACATTTCCTTGTATGTGGATGGAGTAGAAGAGGCTTGTGATTTACCACCCCCCCCCCCCCCCCACCACCACATTTTTCAAGTGTAAGCAAAGCAAGACCTTTGGAAACAAGTCGTAACGGGAAACTTTTCAAAAGCTCTGTTACAATAGGAAATGAGTAACGTGGAAAAGTCTTTTTGTTTTTCCAAGTTGAGCCACAATCCAAAGGGAGAGTTTTAATGAAAACAGTCCTGACAGCAGCAAACGTGGTTTGCTGCAGTGAAACACCAGCTGGTGTGGCCAAGGAGCCGAAGTCTTAACTTCCTGTTACTTCAGCTTTTGTGCCCATATTGGAAATATTTGTTAAGAGGTCTGGTGGCCTGGCATTCATTTATTTAAATGAACTGAGAAGAGAGTAAAGTCACATTGTAGTTCGGTGTTGCTTAACTGAAACCTGCTTTTGTGTGTCACTAACCTATTCTGAGAGACCAGGCTTCTTGTCAAACGAAGTAAGCAGATCAAAGGGCAGGCTTCGGGGGTTTTTTGTTGTTTCAAACTCTTGGTTATTATCAATTTATAGTTGGGAATTCACTGTTCAAGGAGCAAATGTTCACACTTTTTCTAGATTAAGAAAAAGGAGGGGGATGATAGCCTTGAGAATAATGTCTGGCTTTTCAGAAGAGTTTAAACCAATTGCTTTATTCAAATTGCTTTAGTCATTCAATTATTTGACACGTCTTTAAAAGTTAGGTTTCTTTATTTATCAAAGCAAATGTAAAACAGGAACTCACTCATAATTTCTTAAGGTTTTTTTATTAATAGCTCTTTCACCCAAATCTCAGTATGGGTTTTATAAAGTTTTCCATCTTCTCAGTAGTGAGAGCAGTTTCGGTTTTAAATGTGCCTCTTTTTAATTTTTTTTAGCAGTTTGAAATCTTGAGGGAAAGGAAACAGCAAATATGTGGCAGTTAAAACTTAGGATTCTTGTCCTGTTTATTGGTGGCTGTTTGTTAAGTCTTGAGCTAAAGTGAATTTGCAAGATCATCCTCCTCTTTTGTTAGAACTTGCTTTATTTTGTCTTTGGAAGGCTCTGCCTTTCCTGTGGACACTCCCTCTGGCACCTTCTGCCCCCTGGAGTCTAAAACTAAAAATGTGTCACCAAGTAAAGTAAGGCTCAACTAACTGGTGAGATAAGCTCATCAACAAACCTCTGAATGAATAGCTTTTTGAGTTTCATTGTGTTAAAACGCATTAAAAGGATGGGGTTTAAATTTTTTCCTTAAAATTACCTTGAATGGTTTATCTCTATGAGGAATATTCTTTGTATTTCCTATCAGAGTAAACCACTCAGTTAAGGTTGCGTCAAGAAAGTTAAGAATGCATACCTTTAAATTTCCTGTTATTTTAATTAACTTCCTTTGTGTAGAAATACTGGTATTTTCAACATGCCATAGTTTGTAATTCATTTATATATTTAAAATTCTAGATTCTCTTTAAAAAGAATGTATTTCTTTAGTCGTTCAGAGTTGCCTCTTGAAGTTTTGAAAGCATAGAGAGTTAACAGCACTTGGTATTTAAATTTTTTAAAGTTTGAAATTATGTTTAAATGTCTAAAAGGGCCAGGTCTGAATTTTTGTCGAACCCAGCCTGTCTGTGATTTAAATGTTCTCCATGGCTTGTGAATTCTTAAAATTTCTGATTGGATTAAAATACTTAGAGACAAAGGAGAGCTTCATCTGGGAGTTGCATATTCACTTTCTTTGTCATGTAATAATTTAAGACTGAGCTCTGCTTATTGATATGTAGTATTCTAGGTTCGGATTAAACTAGCAGTTGAAACTTAAGGAAATTTTTAAAAAATCCCTATTAGGCATCTTTTGACCTCTTAATAAAGTACTAATGGTAGAAAAATATTTTTGTGTAACAAAACTGAAAACTTCAGTGGTTGTTTGTATTTTGTAAAAAGTGACGACTACTGTCCATTAAAAGTAGGTGTCTGGTTTTGAATAAGTGTAGGTAGAAATGAAGAAGAACTGGACCATGGAATTGGTAGAAAATTTTGACGTGCATTTTATGTTTAAAATAACTGACTGGGATAAGTGTGTAATTTTCCCTCCTTCTATCAGTGAAAACAATGTACAAATCTTCCCTTTTATTTCAACTCTTCAGCGAAAGGAGGAGGAAGAATAGCATTTAAAATGTCCACTGGGATCCTCATGAGATTGTTTTTCCTGGTTAGCAATGACCTCAAAGAGAAGATTGTGGGACACGTTGTGTCTAACACCTTTCCTGTTGCATGTGGCAAGCTTTTCACACTGGGTGCTGCTTTGTCTCTGCTGGGTTACACGAAAGACTTTTTCTGAGCATCATTGGAAAGGAATGTGAGCGGTTAAATCCTATAAGAAAGTGGGTACAAAAGGGCTTCTGACAATTGGTTGAGAATCTAGAATGTGCTGCCAGTCAAATTACTCTTGAGACTTAACATGTGCTTTGGTATTTGAGGACTAAAACACTTGTGCTTCTCCTGGCTCTCAGTAGTTAAGAAAACACAGTTACGCTGAATGGTCACAAGAAAGCAGCTTTGCAGTAAGGTGCTCTGCTGATAAAAGAGGTTGACGGCTGGCCTTTATCCTTTCCTAGGTGTTGTTGCAGCATCCGGCAGTGAGACTGAGGATGATGACAGCATGGACATCCCCCTGGACCTTTCCTCTTCTGCTGGCTCAGGCAAGAGAAGGCGAAGGGGCAACCTGCCCAAGGAATCTGTTCAGATTCTCCGCGATTGGCTGTATGAGCACCGATACAACGCCTACCCATCAGAGCAAGAAAAAGCATTACTGTCCCAACAAACACACCTATCTACACTACAAGTAAGGAAAAAGAACGTGAGGTGTATGCACGTGGGTTGCTTTTTTTTTTTTTCAAAGTTATTTTATAGCATTCCTATGTCAAGTCATTAAGCACCTCCTCATTCAAAAAAAAAGGAATATCTTTTTGTTGTAAACTTAATAGGGCTAAAAGCTAATAACTGGCTATTTAGAGAAACAGAAAGACTTAACAGGCACCTGTCAAATAGCATTTCCTTTAATGCCCAAAAGAGCCTTCCTTTATGTAACACACATAAAAAGGAGGTTAACTCTTACTCTATTGTCCAGGAAACTGGTTTGATATTTAAACAAGAACAGACTTCAGTGAGGTAATTCATGTTATGTCTGTTGACACAGTCATTTGAACTGGGAAAAATCACTAACTGGGAGGAGTGGCCCTTTTCATACAGGAAAGGTTTTCCTGTAGTTGATTAACTTAAATGCTGGGGCAGTGGGTAATAGGTTAATATGGTGGAGAGTTAAAAGGTGAAATTCCCTCCCTAAAATCATTTTCAGACATTTGAGAATTTATACCTTTTTCTTCCTCCTGAAAAGGTTTAAGAATCATGAGACAAAAAAGAGAATTTGTATTAGAAGAGGAGGAGGTTTATGATGGAAAACAGCTCTCTTTCTTGGCTATGCCTTGAAATAACTGAGTTCTGATAAGCCCTTTCATGCCTTCCTTAATGCAAAGAGAGAGATTAATTAGGCACCCGTAGAAGGTTCTCAAAATGTGTTTGCTGAGTGTTAAAACATACTCATACGATTTCAGGTCTGTAACTGGTTCATCAACGCCCGCCGCAGGCTCCTCCCAGACATGCTGAGAAAGGACGGCAAAGATCCAAATCAGTTCACAATTTCCCGCCGTGGGGCCAAGATTTCTGAAGCGAGCTCTGTGGAGTCAGCAATGGGCATCAAAAACTTCATGCCAGCTCTCGAGGAGAGCGCATTTCATTCCTGTACAGCCGGACCAAACCCAGCCCTGGGAAGGCCACTGTCACCTAAGCCGTCATCCCCAGGATCAATTTTGCCTCGTCCGTCAGTGATCTGTCATACCACTGTGACTGCATTGAAAGATGTGCCTTTCTCTCTCTGCCAGCCAGTTGGTGTGGGACAAAACACAGATATACAGCAGATAGCAGCCAGCAGCTTTACGGATACCTCCCTCATGTACCCAGAGGACACATGTAAATCTGGACCAAGTACAAATACACAGAGTGGTCTTTTCAACACTCCTCCCCCTACTCCACCGGACCTCAACCAGGATTTTAGTGGATTTCAGCTTCTAGTAGATGTTGCACTCAAACGGGCTGCAGAGATGGAGCTTCAGGCAAAACTTACGGCTTAACCCTTTTTCAAGCAAAACAGTTCTCAAAAATGATGTTATGATTGCCGGGGTGATGGCAAGAGATGAATTGCATTATTTTATATATTTTTTTATTAATATTTGCACATGGGATTGCTCAAATGAAGCTTCCTGTTACTGAGATGTCTTCAATGGAATACAGTCATTCCAAGAACTATAAACTCAAAGCTACTGTAGAAACAAAGGGTTTTCTTTTTTAAATGTTTCTTGGTAGATTATTCATAATGTGAGATGGTTCCCAAGATCATGTGATTTTTTTTTTTTCTCCCCTTCCCTTTTTTTGTTGTTTTTTTCAGACTGTGCAATACTTAGAGAACCTATAGCATCTTCTCATTCCCATGTGGAACAGGATGCCCACATACTGTCTAATTAATAAATTTTCAATTTTTTTCAAACAAGTATGAATCTAGTTGATTGATACATTTTTTTTCATGGCGTAATAAAATATTTTCTTTAAAAATTACTGTAATGCAGAGTATTTTGTTGAGGGAAGGCACTTCTTAACAATGAGTAGGAATAGAGCACCCCAATGAGCAGGAAGTTGGGGGGTAGGGTGGAGTGTGAGTTGGGGGGAGTGTCACCAGCTCTTTGAAGAACTGTGGACAACAAGCCAGTATGTATAAACAGGATGTGTGATATTTACTCTTGATAGGAGGCATAGCAGGCCCTTAAATCTTTACTTAAAACTGCACGACAAATTGAATTGAATCATTCCATCAGTGTTTAGCTAACCACTGAATCCCTTGGTCATCTGTCCTGCATGTTTTGAGACATGGCCAGTCTTAAAAGAAAGGTCTTGAAGCACCTGATTATGTCTTAAGTTTTCAGAAGTAAACAGCAACCCAAGCAATCTCTTAGTATTGCCCCTCTTTCACATTACCCTTTAAAATAACTTTTGTTCAATGGTACAGTTAGGTAAAACCTTTACCTTCAAAAACAATGTAAATTTATACAGAAATCACCTTTTTGAAAAGATCTTAAAGCATTTTCTGAAGTGATTAAAATAGTGGGGTTCTGTCTACCGTGGAATTAATTTATTAGGTTTATTTTCTAGAGTGACAGTTTGTGAAAAATGGTGCCATACACAAGTGGAATTTGTTGGGATAAACAATTACTTAGGAAAGCAGGATGGATGGCCAGAAGGGAGTTGATGGTGTTCCTTTCATTTATATGGTTGAGCAGATTTGTCACATGCCACAAAATCATTCTTTATAGTCCTGCTTAGTATGAGGTTTCTTTGTTATTATAGTCATGTCCTGCATCAGAGCTTCAGCATTGTTTAAAGAATATAGAAGAAGAATGCCAATTGAAACCCTGTTTAGAAAGTCCCTGCTGTGGAAAAAGCTAAACTCAGACTTTGTCAGTGGAAGAAAACTGACAAGGACAACCAAGAGGTAAAGAAGTGAGGAAAAGGTGTGGTGCTGTAGCCTGTGCTGGGTGCAGCTTTGAAGGCACATCAGCCTCCCCAGGGTCACAGAAATAGAAATAAAGCGAAAAAGAAATAATAATAATATAGTCTATAAAAACAACAAAATAAATAAAAATGAAATAAAAGTGATTGAGAATCATTATTTGCTCTATTATAATAGCTAAATCAAAGGCCAAAATTCTGAGTGTGGATAAGGAAGACCAGCAAATCCTGAAAGGCTTTCCTTGTTAAGACATTTTATTAACCACTAGAAGAGGGGAAAAAAGGATTCACATGAGAGATTTAAAAGAAAAATAAACGTCAGGGGTCAAATGAAACTTGAAGGTTAAAAAAAAAGAACCAAATTGCCTATTTTCATTTGATGTTTTCCCCCTCTGGAGGTTGATATAAATCCTGGTTGATAATAACAACTATAATAAATGTGAACCATTTTTTTTTAAACCAGTAAAGGTAATTGGAAAGGTAAATGTAAAAAACTATTTACTTACTCATATCGAAGCCAAACAGGAATGATTTTTATGCTTAGTATTTGCACATGTTTAGTACTTCCATAGTATGTCTTTTTTCGTTTGCTTGCTTTTAACCTATTAGTATTTTTGTGTTTAAAGTTCTTCCTTTTTAGATAGAGTATGGTTGGGTCTTTTGATCTAGCCTAATAATCTCTGCCTTTTACTTGGTGTGTATAATTGATTTACATTTAATGTAGTTTTTGATATGTTTGGATTTAGTTTACCATTTGAGTTTTTTTCTCTCTGTTTCTCTTTTCCTGTCTTTCAGGTTAATTGAACATTTTTAGTATTTTGTTTTAAATTTTCTATTGGTTTATGAACTATATTTTTAAAAAAATGGTTATTCTAGGGATTACAATATACATCTTTAACATACCACAATCTACTTGGGGTTAGTATTATACAACTTCATACAAAATATAGAACCTTGCAAAGTATGTTTCCATTCACCCCTCTCTTCCTTTGTTTTTCATATATATGATAGCTACACACCTGATAAATCCAACAGTGCAGTGTTATAATTTTTGTTTCAAACTGTCATGTGTCTTTTAAAAATTTAAGAGAAAAGAGAATATATGTATAGTCTTTTGTATTTGCTAAATATTTACCATTTCCAGTTTTCTTCATTCCTTTTGGTGAATCAGAATGACATCATTTCTCTCCAACTTAAAATTTCCTTGAGAATTGTGCAAGCCTGCTGGTGACAAATCATTTGTTTTTGGTCATTGAAAGTGACTTACTTTACTTTCATCTTTGAAGGATAGTTTCACTAAAGATAGAATTCTGGGATGATAATTTTTCATTATTTTCATCACTTTAAAGGTATTTGCTGTCTTCTGCCTTTCATTGTTTGTGATGAGACGTCAGTATGATTTATATCATTGTTCTCTTGTATGTAATGTCTTTCTCTGGCTCTCTTATCTTTGAATTTCAGCAGTTTGACTATGATGTGTGTAGGCATGGGATTTTTATTTATTTGTATATTTTTTGAGGACAGTTGGCCCTGAGCTAACATCTGCTGCCAATCCTCCTCTCTTTGCTGAGCAAGACTGGCCCTGAGCTAACATCCATGCCTATCTTCCTCCACCCTATATGTGGGATGCCTGCCACAGCATGGCTTGCCAAGCAGCACCATATCCACACCCGGGATCTGAACCAGCGAACCCCGGGCTGCCGAAGCGGAACGTGAGCACTTAACTGCTGATCCACCGGGCCAGCCCCACGGCATTGGATTTTTTTGTATTTATCCTGCTTGGGGTTTGTTGAGCTTCTTGGATCTGTCTGTATGTTTATGTTTTGGTTTGTTCTTTTACCAAATTTGGGGAATTTTGGCCATTCTTCAAATTTTTTTCTGCTTTCTCTTCTCTTTCTAGAACTCTAGTAGATTTATATTAGATCACCTGAGATTGTCCTATGTATCTCTGAGGCTGTGTTTTTCTTCAGTCTTATTTCTCTTTATTCTTCAGATTGAAAAATTTGTATTAATTTATTTTCGATTTACTAACTCTCCTGCTCTTTGTAACCTGCTGTTGAGTCATCTAGTGAGTTTTCATTTCAGTTATTGTATTTTTCACAGGTAGAATTCCCGTTTGGTTCTTTTTTTATCAGTCCTATTTCTCTGCTGAGATTCTCTCGTCGATTTATTAATTATGAGTATAAGCTGTTTTAAAAGCTGCCTTAAAGTATTTGTAAATTAACACTCATATTCAGAGTTGGTTTGACTACATTTTGCTTCAGTAAGAGTGGCATGTTATTTTTTTGCTTGTTGAGTGACCTTTTCACTGTTTGCTGGATGTTATGGATAATACATTAATAATGACTCTGGATTCTGCTACATTTCTCTGAAGAGCATTAATTTTTGTTCTGGCAGGGAGTTTATTTGGCTAGACTGAGACTTCAAACTCTGTCTCCCCTATAGTAGATAGTAGTTCAGATCTCTCAACAGTTCTTTCAACTTGCAGCTGCTGCCTTTCACTGGGCCCACTGGATCTCCCTGTACCAGCAGACTGAGGATTTGGACAGAATTTAGATTCAGAGTTTGAGGTTTGCTTCTTCTGCAGCTCCCTCTTTTCCAAGACTCCTCTCTTAACTTTCCATTTGCTCTGCCAACACCAGCTCTGTCCTTCATACCTCAAGCCGCTAAGGCTGCAGCTTTCTGCCACTCCTAGCCTTCTGAAGAATGAGGAGTGCCCTCAGGCATCAAGCTACAACTTGCACAGCTTACCTCTCGAAGTTCCCTTTTAAGGGAGACAACCATCCTGTTTCTGCCTGCTTTTTGGTCACTCTCCAGGCCTCAGTTAGCATTTTGTTTGTTTAATTTTTTGTTCACACTTTATTATTCTTACCTGTAGGGAGGTTAGCCTGAAAAGAAAATGGTGGTGATTTCACCATTACTAGAAACTAGAATTTTACTATAGTTAACTTTTAAACTCTAAATCAGGAGTTCTCAAACTTTTCTGCACCTTGGAATCACCTGGAACACACACAAAAAAAACAACTGTGGCTTGGGTTTAGGAATTTTTAAAAGATCCCTTGGTGATTCTGGTGCATAGACAAGTTTGGGAACCACTGCTGTCAACAATAATTTAAATGAGCCATTGTTCCTTCTGGTTCCACACTCTTCTTGTTGGGGCATTAGATAATTTTTGTAAAAGATACCTAATTTGCTGTAGAATTATCACCCAGGTCAACTTACCAATTAGAGTTTAACATATATATAGACTGGGCTCATGTTAATATGCGTACAGTCCATGCAACATGTAAAGCCAAACCTCTAGCAAATAGACTCAACCGTGCGGGAAGGTAAACGTGTGTTTGTATCAAACTGAAAAATAAAGTTTATCTCTGGAAACTGGCCAGAGAGTAAAAAGCAATGTTCACAGATCAGGTTTTAGGTCTCATTAAGCTCATTAAGAGGAGAATGTGTCAAGTTTTGACCTCTGGCTAAAAATAGACTGCCATCTTAGATGAGTTTTATGATTCCGTGACTGAAAAGAGAAAATAGTCAACAAATAGTTTGTGGCTGAAGAAAGAGCAGTAACTTACAGTTGATGGTCACAATAGGAGAGCTGACAAATAAGGGAAGCATGATGAAGTGATGAATATAACAATAGGTAGTACAAGGATTTCACCAAATGCCAAGGAAACAGGGTTTTTGAATGAAATGACTCATAGACACCAACGTACAACCTTTGAAGCACTGTGTTGATGACAAATGAAATCAAATCCCATGGTGGGAATTTACTCAGACCTGGAGAGAACATATTTATAGATGGACATTTAACTAACAGCACTAATAACACTGATACCTAAGGAAAATGAAAGTATAGAGGGATTTCAGAAGATAAATTGTTACCCTAGGAAGATTTACCAGCTTGTTATTTTTTTTAATATTCCGAAAGATTGTCTTTACAAACAAAATTACCAAAACTTGAACATGTTCACATTGGAGTGGATTACTCAA